CCTGATGAAGTCACGCCCTTTGATGTAACGTACGTAGGGTGGAGTAGAGGAGCTGAGCGATTTGCACACAGTGTCTGTGGCTGCTTGCCAAATACCTCACTTTTATCTATGATATGTGAGTAGTATTCTTCTTTAATAAAGTCTAGTATCCTTTTTAAACCATCTGCACTACGAGTCTCCACTTTTTATTTTATTTAATGCATGGGCCATTCGGATTAAATGTCTGCTTCCAATTCCTGAGACTGCAAGAGAGTCTGTACCTGAGAGGAGGTAATCACTGGGAGGTATTCGGCAGGAACAGCGCATACAGACCCTGGTGGGTCTCTGCTAAAGGTGAGGTGCATTCCAGAAGATTTCTCTGTTGATGGTCACAGGAGACTAAGTCTATTCTACATCCAATGTTTTATCTTCTATTTACTTAATGGACTATTGAAGATCCAGGAGCATGGACATTTTTTAACCATTTATTATTTTCACTGTAGGGCATGTTACACACATGCGTTTTTCTAGTTGTTATTCTTTGCACATTGCATCACATTGATTCACAGTTAATATTTAGAGCATTTGATTTTTAATTATGGATATTTTGTAGCAATTACATTTACACTGTTATATACATGCGTTTCTTCTTTGTTTTGCACTTTTTACACATTGCATCACATTACTCCAAGGTCAGTATCTACTATATCTGACACTTTTGTGGTCTCACTCATACAGCGCGGCTTTTACCATTAATTTCATACGTTATATCTGACCACACAGATTTCAGCTGCTGCTCAACTTGATTAGAGTGGTGGCGCGAGGTTTCACATTATTCACTCAAGCTTGGAGTGGTGGTTACTTTACAACACACACAGGGACCATGGGGAACACAAGTAGCCACGCAAAACACACATTTACATGCAAGTCAATGGCGACTGTTCACACGTTAGCAATGCGTTGCGCTTAAGAAAATGCCTGCCATGTGAAAAGATGCAGGAGCCATTTTCAGGCAGATGTGTTGTTCCCAAGACATCTCTATGCAGGGAGAAACATGCATTTTTAAAAGCAAAAATGTGCAATAAACATTACGCGGGAAATGCGCAAAAACGCACTAAACTGAAACCTGCCCTAAGGGACAACTTACCCTCTATGATTTGCTTCCTTGCATATCCAACAGCAAGATGTCGATCTGTCGCTACTCTCACTAGCAAGCAAGATTTGGATTTTTGAAAGTCAATAACCGATCCTTTATCTGCAGCAGCTTTTCATGTTGAATTATCCTACATGTAGTCCTCAACACACTCTGTTTGGTAACTTACATGGGAAGCGCTCTCAGTTCAATTGTCATCCCCCTGCTATTTGCTTGTGAGTGACTCACTGGCAGTAATAGAATAACACATGCCGAGTCCCACCTATATCCTCTGTACTACCCCATGACATGTCCCTTAAGATGTATGCTGAAAACAGTCACATGGGTAGTAGGTGGTGACAAAGAGGTTCCAGTCTGTTCACTCATCCACTTGGTGCACAAAGGAAACATGGGAGCCAGTGTTTAAAAATGAAAAACAAGTCTTATTTAGCATTACCACCAGTCCTTGTAAGTTTTACTGTGCCTAGGGTTCAGTTTGGCTCATTCACACCCTCACAGTGGGTTATACAGCATGCAGAAGGCCCATGTTTATGCCTAAAAAGCACAGCTGTAGCCAGCAGTCTGTTTAAAATGAATGCCAGGCTGATAAACGCAGTGGCTGTACAGATCTTCCTGGACATATGTAGGTATACGTGTACACACAGACAGATGTACAGAACACCTGGGTGCATAAACAAGGGCCTTCTGCACATAGATACACAAAGATATATATGTGTGAATTTGCACATTATATACTGTATATTACATACTAGGGATGAAACTATACCGATACTAGTATCAGTGCCGATACAGAGTATTTGGGCAAATACTCGTACTCGCCCAAATGCTCCGATACTGGAACTTCCGGTCAGAGGGAGATCTCCCTCTGACCGGCAGTGCCGAGGGAGTATGGAGCCGGCTTCCTTTCCAATCAGGAAGCCAAGCGCTGGGTTAAGACCCGCCTCCCTGATTGGCAAGAAAGCAGGCTTCACTTGTTGCTAGGCAGCCTGGCTTCCTAACCAATGGGCACGTAATTGGTCAGGAAGGGTAAAAGGCACATAATTGGTCAGGAAGCCAGGCTGCCTAGCAAAAGTGAAGCCAGCTTCCCAGCCAATCAGGAAGCCGGGAGGCGGATCATGACGTGCCACTCGACTTCCTGATTGACTAGGAAGCCAGCTTCACTTGTAGGCAGCCTGGCTTCCTGACCAATCAGGAAGCTGGACGGCGCCTCATGACCCGACGGCACCTCGACACAACACCAGCTTCCCAGGCAATCAGACTTCCTGATAATAGGGGTACACGGCACTGGTATCGGTAGTCAGTACCGGCGAGTACCGAAAAAATAAATATCCGTACTTGTACTTGAAACCCAAAAAAAGCGTATTGGTGCATTACTATTACATACAATAGCTCATCACATACACTGGCTCTGCTTCTTACTTTGCAGTGCTCACAATGCAAGGCTATCAGTCAGAAACTAATTGCGCTCACCGTGCTCCTGTTATCGTATACAAACTTGTTAAACGAGGCAGCAATTATACATTAACCGTTCGCACAGAGTTCGCCAAATTGCAGGTAAAAAGCACACGAAAATCAAGCACTTTAAATGCACTTTAAATGAATGATTTTTTTATTCACTTGCAATGTGCCTCTAATCTAGCCAGAAAATGTACCTACTCCAGGAGTCAATTCCCTAGTGCAGCCGCCTCTCTCCTTTCACGTCATAACCCTCTTCTACTCTCTGTGCTGGCCCAGCTCCTCCCTTCAATTCCGGGTAGAATAATAATTAGGGATGCACCGATATATCGGCCGCCGAAACATATCGGCCGAAAAGGGTACTTTTGGCTGAATGCCGAAAGTGCCTTTTTCCTGCCGATACATCCCTGCTTTCTTTCCTCCCTGCTGGGCACTGCTCTGTGTCCCAGCGGAGAGGAGAGAAAGTGTGACAGCCGACCGAGCGCTGCGGGAGGAGAAAGCTGTGAGCGGCCGGCTCTCCTCCCACACCGCTCAGCCTTCTATCTTAGACTGGCAGAGCGGTGTGTGGGCGGAGACAGCGCTGTCACAAGAGGCTGAGCTCTCCTCCCTGCACCGCTCACTCAGCCTTCTGTGACAGCGTGTCAGAGAGGAGAGGCAATGCAAACACTCAGTGATCAGTGATCGCTGAGTGTTTGTAGATAATTGAGGACATGGTATGTTAACTATATCCTCAATTATGAATGAATGGGAGTGATCTACATTCCCTCCTGTTCATTCATAATTGTGGTTATAGTAAACATACCATGTCCTCAAGATATGAATGAACAAGAACATTCAGAGGATTCCTGTTCATTGATAACAGGGAATACAAAAAAAGAGGTAGAGGACTTTGTGTCTTCAATCTCTTTTTCTATTTTAAAAGGGAAATATCAGGGGTCTAATATTTCCCCGAAACACCCTAAAAGTAAAGTAAAAAATAAAAATATTTAATAAAAAATGAATGCATTAATAAAACGTTTATAAAAATACAATATTTGAAAAATTTGAAAACATTTAAATAAAAAACATTTTCGGTTTCGGTCTGACATCGGTTTTAAAATTTCCATTTCGGAGCACCTCTAAAAATAATGTACACACTGAACTTGGGTGTGTAAATTATCATTAAAAAGTTGGGTGTTATGAGCAGAGGGCCACTGCAAAGTCCCCCGCACACAACGCTCAACTTCCAAGTGGGTATAATCTCTTCCTGAACATAGGAAGAGATTCTACCCGAGCTCTACACCCCTCTCTCACATCAGAGTCCCCCTCTTTACATCAGAGGTATGATGTTGTGTGAACATTTTGAGGCACCCCTAAGAAAGCCAGCAGGCACCCAGGTTGAGAAAGGCTGCACTACACCATCTCTTTAAAAATACACCTTACATAAAATAGAGATAGGACTGCCATTGCCTGCCTCTTTCTGAAAAGGCAAGTTGCCTAGTTGTGTCTTTCAATACTTAATCATTGACCCCGATGCAGTAAATAAAAGTCAGTATGAAGTGTGTACTCCTTTTGTCTTTACCTGTTCTGGGTCAGTGACTGAGAGGGTATTGAAGACAGCAATTCAGTCTCACAGGCAGACACCTAGCATTTCTTGGAAGCAAGGTCAGCAATGATAGAAAAAAATTAAATAAACTCTCTCTATATCTATATATAGAT